TCTGGCCGGAGCCGGTTCACTTTTCCAACCGCAAACAGACTGCCACTTTCGCACAGTTTTAACTCTAGCTTTATTCTATTGCGCGATAGCTTCAAAAAATAATATACATCTTGTTTATTTTGCAATACGATGCTTTTCTTTTTATTGATTTTAATAATAAATTGCATAAAAAAGCATTGAACGTTTTGGATCTTCGAGCAGACAAAAATATCGCGAAACGTTGACCCAAGCGGGAAGCTGCAAAATGCTGGTCCATATAGCGACATCGCTACAAATTGACGGCAAGTCCTAGTCACACGAAGAATATTGCAAGACGATCGTTAGTCTTTCAGAATCGAGTTGTTGTAAACGCGAAAGAGCTGTGGTAAAACATTTAAACAGTTTATTATATCAAAGAGCGCAGCGATACACTGTTAAATATTAAAGGATGAAATTTAAACCAATATCTTGAGTTAAATAACATTTCGTTATTTCTAACTACCATGTGTGTATAGAAATTTATTATTTTAACAGTATTATTTTAATACAAAACAATATTATTTTAATTTCATTGGTTTAATTAAATTAACGACGAAATTAATATCGAATAGGAGCAGTGGCGACCTATAGAAATGGCTAAAATAATTCAAATTGAGTATAATTCGACACTATGAATTTAACAGTGTACGCAAAGACATATCGCGTACCACTCGGTACGGACGTCGATGCGGACGATCGCAGTATATCTTCCCGTGGAGAAAATTTATATCAGTTTTTTTTTTCTTTCTTCCTCTAAGTTGCGCGCATATTTGCGTTGTGCGTCGATTTTATGAGGCCTGAAACATGCCCACTTTCCCCGCCAATCGAAAACGTATCATGGGAATAAACGACGGCTCGTCTACCTGCCGTTCCACACAAAAATGGCTAATTCATAACGCGCTATTAATAACGCGCCGCTTTTAACACATCGTCGAAGAATGCCCCGTTTACCGTAGGTATGTTGTGACAGCGTTTGGGGGCCCCGCTTTGGGGTCCGGCGTTTGTTCGGCGCTCGTTCTCCCCTCTAAAAAGGTACTCTCCGTCACAGAGAGACGCCGAAAGACGACCGACGCGTCCTATACTTTGACAAATGAGACGATATCAATCTCGGACGTTATACGCCACCGAGATGCACACAGAAGCGAGATATACTCGCGTATCGTTGCCGCCGCGATTTTACTGCTGTTACGCGCATGTCCAAATGCGCGGTAATTAATTATACACTCGCCCCCGCGACGTAGAGACTGGAACTCATATCACGCATCAACTGTACCGTGTTTTATTCGCGCTGTACGTTAATTAGGAGCAGTCAGACGCATTGCAATAAATTAAAGTTACTTTTGCATATGGAGCGACCAAATTAAAGGAACTTTTATACATATGGAACGAGCAAGCGTTACACATGTTATATAGAAACATATTAAATGACTCTCATGTAAAAAAAATTATAAAACGTGATATTTTCATAAAATTATGCAAAGACGTTAAATTTTACAAAATATATGTATGCCGCCTTTATTTTAATTAATTTTAAAAATATTTGTTACATTAATACGAGGTAAATCCCAATTTCGAATCATTTCGCGTAATTTTATATTATATAAAAAGAGTAAAAATGCTAAAAAGGAATTCCTCCCTCATTTGTAAAAAATTCTGACAGATATTGCGGCCGATTGCATGGTGAAAACGCTATACAATTTTTTTCAAGCTGCAGGATGCCATCGATTGAAGACCATTTCAAAGGTCAATATTGAATTATTGAATTGCAATTTATTGATTATTTCTCCGCGTAGATGCTTATTGATATTGACTTATTAATGATGCAAGTGAAATTAATGAGGCAGAAATTTAATTAAATTACGCTTAACACCGACCGATTTATCTAGTTTTAAAACACATGAATTCACATGTAACTCAATTTTGAAGTTTACAAAGCTCTGTTGGGGCTTATACAAGAATAATTTTTAATTCTTTAAAATAGTATTCCAACTACCTGAGTCATCTCGGGTAGTAAATTTTAAAATATCTCTGAATTTAAGTAAAAATACAGCAATTCAAGACTAAAGAGAACTTAAGAGACATTCAAATCGTGGACTCAAAATCGAAAGAGAGGAAGAAAGAAGGAAAGAGAGAGAGAAAGAGAGAGAGAGAGAATATATAAAGATAAGGCCGCCGGGAACGACAAAACGGGACGGAAATACGGGTTCGCGAAAGGCGGGGGCGACATCGGGAATTGAAAAATAGCGCCTTGGGCCGCTGTCGCTCACAGTGATGGCCCCGTGACAGCCAATGTAACGCACGAATTAACGAAATAATTGATTTTCATACCGGTTCGAAATAAGCGCGCCACGCGGCGCACAAAAGACCCGGGCCGAATCGGCGGCCGTCAAACGGAAAGAGATATTTTGCCGATTTCGGGGTGCACCGAGTGGTGGTGCATCGCCTGCACCGTCGCCGCGGTGGTGGAAAAAAAATTGCGGCTAGCGTTTTTTTTTAAATTCCCGTTGGTCCCGTCGGCCCCACGGCCCGGGGCCAATTTAAATACACCGGTTTACATTGGTAAATTGGCATAGACTCCCGGGTGACGCGCGGCGAAAAAAATCGGGAATTGTTCCGGATTGTAGTGTAAATATTCTTGCAGTATAAATATTCGGCGGTCCCGCGTAATCGTCGGACGAACGTCCTGGTAACGTATCTCTCCGAAAGAAAATTGACTGGGAAATCAAAATCGCTCGCACAAAAGAATCTTTATGATACCATAAAAGAATTTTTATGACATCATAAGTGAATCTTTATGATATTGAATAAATCATATGAAAAAGCAACATGAGAAAAGCTAATCGTTAATTTTTCCCGAAAAGACGCATGAAGACTTTATCCGGCCCAGAACGAGGTCCATAAATAAATTTGTGGCTTGCGTTGAAAAAAAGTCGACGCGAAAATTTGGGTCGTACGTCAAACGTGCTTCTCATAAATTTTATAGAAGGCAATATTTGACGCACAATCCAGCTCTGTAGATTCTACAAGAAAGGCTGATAAAAAGATTATAAGTATTCGCTATATCTGTCACAGTATAAAAAAGAAAGAGATCACTTATACCACTTATACACTTTTCTTCAGACTTAACGTGTTATTATTCCCATAATTGTACCTATATCGAAAACGTAGGGCGACAAAGCGGTGTTCGCCGGTTGGACGGCGCGCCGCGTAAGTCGTTGTGTCTCGTAATGTTAATGGGAAAAGCGAAAAACATTATTCGTAGCCGGGCAAGGTATAATGCGCGTTCTATGCGGATAGGAAGGGCGCCGGCAGCGCGCGCGCGGCAGATAGAAGGAAAAGAGCGCGAGGACTGCGAGGAGAGAAAGAGAGCGGGACAGAGACGAGAGCGGAGAGAGAACAGATTTATATTTGAAATTAGATTAAGCTTCTGCGCCTGAAAGCTATATAAACGCCCCTCCGCCTGCGCCTTCCTCCGCGCACAAATCCACCGCGCCGGAGAGAGACTCAATAAACCAACCACTCACTCTTTCCTCCTCCTTCCTCGTCTCCTGCCTCGTTCTCTGTTTTGCAAACCCGCGAACGTACACCCTTCGTTGCCCGCCTCCTGTCGTCCTTTTTCTTCCAAAACGCGCGGCGCTCTCAGCCTCCACTCCTTCCGCGCGTCGCGAATCTTTTCCTTCTTCCCGCTTTTCCTGCCCCGAGAAACCCCCTTCCTTATTTTCACATGTATCCAGTTTAACTCCGCAATCGGTCCCTGACGAGTCATTTTGTGCAATTCACTCTGCCAGAGAGGCTCAATAAACCGAGTACATTATTCTCTTTTCTTCCTGGCATAAAGAGCAACCGTTTCACTCTTCCTCCCACCTTCTTTCCGACCTCCTTGTTTCTCTCTTGACTCTCGCAACTCGGTTCCTCTTGCACGGTTCAGATTTTACTTTCCTCTCGCGACTTATTACCGAATAAAACGGATTGAATATCAAGAACAATAACGTCGCTTTGAGTATTCGGCCACAAAGTTTATTCGCCAAAAACGCTCACCAAAAAATATCGTGTGCGTGCGAAGAAATGTACAAAATGTTACGGCGCCACACAAAGGTGAACGTCTTAATACGCATTAAGCTCCCCCACGCATGACTTTATAACTGTCGTAAAAAAATAGAAGCGCATAAAGAAACGTCATAACTATACTTGAATGCCTTCACATGTGTACGACCGATATTCGACAGTCGAGCTCACGGGCTCACAAGGGAGTCTGCAGTACGCCGGCTCCCACGCCATAACCGTATCCTTGCGGTCCGAAATTACGGACGTAACATTCTGTGCAATTCATGGAAAGAGCTCAATTAACATGGGCAATCTTAACTGGCCATGATAGTATTATTCAATTAAAGAGAGTCAAGCAAAAAGAGTACAAAAAGCATAAAACATAAAAAGCTCGAGAAAAGGTATCTATCTCTCCTAAGCAATCTCGGAATCTCTGTACTTTTCTATAATTTGATAATACCAACGTTTGCAGTAAATTTCGCCGCTATTCTCCTGATAAGTCAGCGGTTCCAGCGGCTTTCGGCAACAAAAGCAACTGAAGCAAATGTTATGGTACGGTACTCCCGAGGCGATCTTGGAAAGGAATAAATTACACGTAAAAATTTCTAATATTCCCCCTTAAAATCTTTTTCTGTTTTCTGTTACACATCGCAACTTATTGTGTCACAGTAAAACTATTTCTTTTACATTTCTATCCATTGGATAAACAATATCATGTATACATTTTCGTGTATGCTTTGTATACATGTGTTGGTCCAAATATTTTTTGAACCGTCAAGTAATTGAACGATATAAAATGACATGATCTCGATTTCAAAGCGCTGTCTCTTTAACAATATTGTACTTACCTGCATCTCAGCCTGGTAGACCTTTCTTCCGCATCGCCGACAGTCAAGGCCGCCACCGAGGCACTCACATGGCAATCTTAGCCGGCAGCAGGCTCCGTTGGTACCGCATTTCGCTCCGTCATTGACGCCGCAGCATCCGCTATTTATGGTAGACAGATATCTTGGGCCACACGACCTGTAACATAAATCAAAATCAATCTTAGCATAATCAAAACACAATGACAAATTCTTATCAGCAACGTAATTCTTGCTCCTATTTTTCTCATCCTCTTTCTGTTTTTATCATCATCCAACAAATCACAAGTTAAGTTATAAAAAGTACCAAAGAGTTAAGGAAAATTTAATTCTAAAGCACCTGGAAAAAAACTCTGGTCGAAAAAATATTGTGAGACACCCTGTATAGAAGCCTACAATATTCGCACCTTCTACAGTTATTGGGTCCGCAGGTGCAGCAGGAGCTTCTATAGTCGCTGATCGAACAAGGGGACGGCGATGGATAACGCGGAGCGCAAGGTGATCTCCCGCGCAAGGAATGAGCCGGCGAGTTACAGATCCTCGGCGACGGCGTGCAGATCTGACCGGGTTTCCCGCAGCCGCCGCAACATCCGCCACCGCCACAACTTCGGACATCCGTCGTACACGGAGGCGGCTCGCACCTGGCCGCCTTCTTGCAGACTCGGGGACAACGACAACAGGAACGCGATGGCACAACGCACCCTATTCTGGTTCTGTCCGGACTAGGCGCGCATGATTCATTCGGCTCCGGCGCGAGTCTTCCGCAACAGAAACCGTAATCCTGCGAACTCCTCCAGACCCTGCGCCGCGTGGAAATGTTATACTGTCAATCTCGGTTTGCTTAAGAGAAATCTTTATAATAATGTTCGATATGCGACGTTTATCTAAATACTTTCAATATAGTTATTAAATATAGTTATTAAATTATTTCAATATAGTTATTAAATCGACCTATGTGTGCTGCAAGTTCTTTTTCAAATGCCACATAAATATTTGTTAGTTCAATCTATTGACTCGTCGTAACTCTTTTTTTGACTGGCGGTATTAATCTAGCAAAACGCTCGCAGAGAGATTATGAGTGACGAATATCGAAATTTCGATGTTCTAGCACAACAATTGATAGTTCACCCACTTTTCGCGTGCTCCGCAGCAGCATCCGCCGCAGCCTCCTCGCATGCGATACTCGTCACGGCCGAGCAAGTCTACATTCTTGTGGATGGAGTTTGATAGATTCTCGTTCCACACGGTATCGTCTTCGTCGTTTCTTCCTTTACTTCCGGCAAGGCGATCCGCCGGACAGACGTCACCATTGCCAACCCATTCCCCCCGCGTGCGTTCATCGCTCTCGACTGTCTGCTCGCCGATATTTCCCGACTGCGAACTCTGGCCTTTGTCGCTGTTGAAAGTGCAACCCGATACTCCGCAACGGTCCTCCGCGTAATTGTCGATCCTCGGTGTGCTTTCCGAGTATCCGTCGTCGCTCTTGCAAGTTGACGCGTCGTCTGCCTGCCAAATATCGTAGAACGTCTCTCGCTCCGCCTTATTCTCGATCTCTCTGTCGTTATCGCGACACGTGCTCGTTAGATCGTCATCCTGCATGACTGTCGTGCGATGACAACGATCATCGTCGCAGTCGGTGCCGATGACGGTGGCGTCGCTGAAGGAGACCCGTCTGCGAAAAGGCGCGCAGCGATTTGCCGTTAACGGCCGCGACGGGCACAGGCACTTCCGTCTCGACGAGGACGCAATATCCGGAGTATCTGGAGTGGCGGCGGCGGCGACGGTCCTAGACTCACGGCAAGAGGAAGAGGACTCGCAGGCGGATACGATCACCCTCGTCCGATTCTCGCCCGTGGTACTAGAAATATCTGTGCTCACAATCCTCAATTCTATCTCATTCGGCCGCCCACCACGATTGTGATGCGAGCAGTTACGTATATAGATACTACGCACAGGTGTGAATGACAATCAGGCGCAATCGATTAAAATTATTCTCGCAACGTTATATAAATGAAGTAGCATTCAAAAAGTTAACACATGGAAAAACGATAACGAGGACATACACCTTCGACACCTTGTCCATTCTTTTTTATTCTTTTTTATAGTCGTGTTCGATGCAAATTATAATTTTATTTGAGAAATAAAAGTAAAAACTATCCTTGTTCTGTTAAAAGCTCTGTCTCGAATGCTGCAGGGTGTCTCATAATTTATAATCTTAATTCAATCGTCACGAATATCTCTCCGTTCAATGGAATATCGTACATTCAATCAATCCAAATGCTATCTTGAGATAATTAAGACTGCAAACTTAACTTTTTACCTCAATTGATTTCGAGGACTGCTCATTCCTCTGGTGAAATCCGTAATTTGCGGTCAATCGTGCGTCATTCTGCGATCGTTCCCGTCGCTGCTGTCCTCCGTAGGAATCATTTACTTCAATTTACTCCAAATTTTCTTGATACGCTTCCGATCTCTGCTCCGGTTTCCGAGATACCGGATAACTCTCGTCGATTATCTCGCAGCTGTTCACGTTATTATTCGCGGTAGCTGGAAGTGACTTCGCAGACGAGCCGGTTTAAAGCCGGCATAACTTTTGCCTCATAGATGATTGACGATTAAACGACCTGTGCATAAAGAAGCATATTCTATTTTAACCTTGCATAAATTACTTTGCCAAAAGAATCGTTTCATTTACTGTTTTTTCTCTTTATCTTAACATATTTTTAAATAGAGAAGGAATGGTTAATATATTTCTAATATTCTTCTAATAATTATGTTTTGTTGTATTTTTTAGAGATCTTAATTTGGCTTGAGTTTTTTATAAACGTGAAATACTAGATGATTGTAACAAACATTACAGCTGAAAATAGCATTGCAAGTTGCCGTTTGTTGCGTTACTCTTTATATTCGATAAAATTCTTTTTCTATTTCTTATTTCATATATATAATTTAAATTTTGTGCGTATAAATTGTACAATATATTTTATATTATTTACTTAAATTACAGCTTCTACCTTTCTGCTTTCATATTCGATTATTTGATCACATAAGTAAAAAATAAACAATCTGGTATATAAAGTTTAATGTAAATAGATTTAACAATCCAATATTAAAATTTACTCTACCAGATTGTGCCGCTAATTAACTAATTTTCTACAAATACAAATCGGTATAAGCGTTTATCGCGACGCACAAAATGCATTCTGTATTATACCTGTACGCCGTTCGTTCTCAACATTGTCCCCGGGAAATGTACTGCTTTTTTATGCAACAATCGTTTTTCTCTCGAGATGACTTTCGTGCATCACGTTAAGTTATCTCGAGCGCGACGATCCGATAGTCACGACAGTGACTCGCAAATTCGAACTGTTGTTCGCGCGGGGACGGATTCCGAGTATTTCCGAGATGGCGATAACTTACGGAGCAAATCGACGAATCCAGGAGGATGACGTCACGGTGAAAAAATGCGCGCAATATTTTTTGCGAAAGGAACACCCCGCCGTGAGTCGCCACCCTACGGCTGTGAAACAGCTTCCGGCATTTACCTACGGGCGGTCATATTCATTTGCAATGAATTAATCCAGCCTAGATAATGATATAATCAAATTATACTAACAATAAAAGATGTTATAAACTGAATTAAATAAACATATCAAATAAGTTATGCTCAAATATGTAAAAGTTATAAATATATGAAAAACTCAGAATAATCAAATATTTGGCGTTTGATATTAATTATAATATATATTTATAGCGTATGTATGTTTGTTTGTATTATAACACTCATAGTTTATTTCTCACAATGACAATTCAAAAACGAATTTAAGGGTTAAGTTAATCGCGCAAAATCATCGCTCTATCGAAATTTCAACATTGAAATGGCACGATTAGACGAAAAGAACTTACTACAACCGTGCCTACTCGATACCTCCCGCGATCTTACCGAAATCCTCAATTTTGGACGCGATCAAGCGTCAACGCGTCTCCGTGCAACAAAATGCGGCTCTGTACAAATCATGGCATGGCGGATTGGCGCGGGGCTATTACAATTTTTCAACTTTGAACTCCTTCGCTGTCCTTTGCGATCTCAACGGTGGTAGATATCGAGTGATCGATATCGTGCGCGAGAGGTGCACGGACACTACGGACAGTTCTCGTTGTCGTCGTCACGCGCCGCTAATCGGGCCAATGTCAGTTTGGTGTGGACAGCGACGCGAGCGGCGGACTGGCCGAGTCGAGTAGTGGCAGCTTTTCTCCTCTCTTCCAGGGGGGAGGCGCGAGAAAAGTGAGGTTAGGGCGGTTAGGCTTGCTCGCGGCGATGGCGGCGATAACGGGCCTGGGTAGGAACATCCCCTACTTGCGGCAACAGGCCGCGGCCCTGCTCGGCAACACCAGCACCAGCGTCAAGTTCATCTGCGTGGTGGTGCTGTTCTCCTACTGCCTGTCCTTCTCCGCGGAGGCGGTGCGCATCCTGAGCGTGACGCCAGGTTACCTGCTGCCGCCGGTCTTCTGGTTCTGGACGGCCTTCACCTTCTGCTTCCTCGAGATACACTTCTGGGAGGTGTGCGTCGACGTCGTCACCGTCGGCCTATGCGGCAAGCTGATCGAGCCCCTATGGGGCGCCTTCGAGATGATGACGTTCTTCGCCGTCGTAAACTTCGGCGTCGCCGTCCTCTCGGCGCTCTTCTACCTGTTTCTCTACATGTGCACCAACAACCCGGACCTGCTCTTCAACATACACATACACGGCTTGACCGGCTACATCGCAGGTACTCTTCGCCTTTCGACTGATTACATAAAAATCGTGGTCGACTTGGTTCGTCGCTCGGCACATTGTTATAAGCAAGTTATGGAACAGAGTTTTTGTTGATCAATTCACAGCATTGATACAACTTGGTTTTTGAGATATTTTTTTATCATTTGTGCGTGTAAAATATTCCTAAATCGTGTCCTTTCTGAAAAGATCTTCTTTGCGAGGAGATTTCTCTTTAAAAATAGAATTTCTTGGACATACAGCTTTGATACAGCTTTAGTCATACAAAGGATTGCTTTATTTCGCAGGAGTCGCAGTGGCGGTGAAGCAAATAATGCCAGATCATATCTTAATCAAGACACCTATTGGAAAGATCACAAATAGAAATATACCCTTAATGGTATGGATCGTGGGATTGATATTGTGGCTCGTTGGGTTACTAGAAGGCACTCATCCCACGATGTTTCTCAGCGGATTGTTGATATCTTGGACATATCTGAGATTTTATCAAAAGCACAACAACGGTACTCGAGGAGACATGGCGGACAATTTTACATTTGCAAGGTGCGATTTCCGTAATTTGGATTATCTTATCCGATCATCTTATTTGGGACTTCTCTTGCAGTTTTTTTCCAAATGTCTTGCAACCACCGATAGCAGTGGTGAGTAACACCATACACGGATTCTTCGTGCGTATCGGAATATGCCGGAAAGTAGTTAGAAGATTCGACATGTCCAACACACCGCCTGGCTTGGTTATCAATCTTCCTGGTATCGATCCTCACGATAGCGAACGACGCCGGTGAGTATAGTTACGTTATAGATAAAACGTGAATGTCGGAGCTCGATTTTCAATGCGTAACATTTTGCAAGTCATACGCTACTCTCATCTTTCCGATCGATGTCTACTTTACAGGCAAATAGCGTTGAAAGCACTGAGCGAGAGATTAAGCAGAGATCATGCGAAACCTTGGCAACCGGACAGGGCTAAGAAACACTCGCCAGTGCCTCCGGCGGTTTCCATACCGATACCCGAATCCACCACACCCAAACCGCTCGCATCTCCACTCATTCCACAAGTCAATGTCAATATACATAATCATCCCTCTAGCAGTACGTGATTATACGAGACTGACTGATTTCAATAGGTTTATAAATTACACTGAAAAGCTTCTAAACACAAGTGCAGGCTTTAATATGGCTATAGTCAATAATGGATGCAATTCCTATTTTTTTTATCATATATCTGTAAATAGAATGTTATCACTATGATTTAAGCACTAAATTGATCTTTTTTTTGTGGAGTGAAAACTAATTTAGGATTCAATTCATTAACTATTTATTTATACACAGTAAATTATTTATTTATTCTTATGATAATGACACATGTTAAAATTTCATTGAAAACTTTCATGTTATAACAAAATATCACAGAAAAAAACTTCTACATTAAATAGCTTATATTATCTGAAAGGGAGACTTCAATGCCAGCAATTACTATTTTTATGCAAGTGTGAATTGCAAGTTTCATCTTTTGTTACTCCTACTCAAAAAGAGTTGATTTTAATTCTAACTTATTTAACAGTAAGTGAAATATTATAAAACAATTTTTTGATTAGAAAGAAATTAATATACTGCTCTAATAAAGTGTCTTTTGCTATAAAATATCGTTGCACGTAACAAATTATGGGATATTGTACTCTTTATTGATTATCATGCCATATTAATGCCAGTTTAAAAAGAATAATCTTTAAAAGATTTTTAACAACATGTGGGAAAGATAAAAATCAAGATTTATATCTTATGATGCTATTTTCCAAGAAATGGAACAATTCTTTGTTATACTAAAGATTAGGTGTGTAAAAATTAATGACATGAGAATTTTAATATCTCCAAAAAGACAACCTCATAGGTTTGTAGTGCCATATGATTAGAGCACACTGTTCCATCAAAAAGTCCGATGATTAAATAGTAACATGTAATAATTAGATGCTTTCAGTGCAGTACGTACAGCGACATAATTCAGAAAAAACATTGAAATTGAAGAAAGTGAAAATTTATAATCTTAATTTAAAATAAATTTTGTACTAAATACTTGAAAATACGGAAGAGATAGGTGATTATCTCAATGTTTAACCTATACATATATATATATTGAAATCAGCTAGTTATAAAGATATGCAGAGAAAGTTCTGTATCTTTACATTTCAATTAAAACATATATACATATATATATTTTTCCAATAAAATGTTCTAAATTGTTATAATCGACATAGAATGTAACATTCGTTTACTTTCTTATCAGCTCTTTTTTTTTTAGTTTTTGGTGTTATACATGATGTATAAAAATTTCAGTTTATGTTGCATAATTTTATTTTGTACAGGATCATTTATTTTATGTAAATTGCGTATTTAATGTTATAAAATGTATACACAGTATAACATTCATTCATTCATAGATACATTCGTATATACATAAACGGGAGTGCGTGACGAGAGTGGAAGATAGTTTTAATAATAGTAATTGTAATGAATAACGAGGTATCTTGTATATAAAATTTCACGATTACACAGACGAATGTAAATATAATAAAGATTGATGTAAAACGTAAAGGGAACAAGATATTAAAAAGGGGGCAGTGATTATATGTATAGCAATATTGCTATATATAATCATTCCATTATACATATATAATGGAATGATATTAAGAGCTATTTTTATGTATGGTGTGAATAAAATTTTGGAAGTATGTGTGATTGTATGTGTTTTGAGCAATTTTGGCCGTCTATTTAACGCAATGTTATTGACGAATCTTTTAAGTACTTTTATTATGAGTATTTAGTCAATTAATATTTATTACTGTCTGAAAAATGGAAGGCCAAAATTAGTTTAGTGTGAGAATGAGTATTTGTTGAATTCACAGGAAGTATGTTTTAAGAATCTAATGTAATTATTACATGCATATGTACATGTTATATATATACCATTAATTTTGTACATAAGTTACAATCGTTACAATCTGTACAATATTAAATTCTACCGACAAAATACCTGTATTGACTTCATTACCAATACACTTTACAATCAATATAGTCGAAAGGAAAAAACACAGAGGTTTGCGAAATTTTTAATAATCTGTAAATATATTCCAAATATTGGAACAATTAAAACACTTCAAAACAATTCATAAATCTTTTATCAAGAGATATGATCTCATTATTAACGTCTTGTATCAAATATACAAATATATTATAAACTTCTTTCAATAACTTTCTTAAAATGATAAATGGGTGTATTTTTCGTTCATCTTTATGATGAAAGGCCAGCAGATAGAACGTAATAAATACCGATGTGTCTAGTTATATTAGCAAAATATCGAGAAATCCCGATAAAGTTATAATAAAAAACTAAATCAGTTTTACTGCAAAATTAAAATAATGTCGTTTACCATAAAACGCATCAAACATATTGATAAATTATATAATACATATCAATATGTATTATATGCTTATATAAAATAATATAGAACATATGTTATATAAGCATCTGATCCTTGAGCTATATCGTTATATCATTGAAGCTGCATATATATGTATGTATGTATGTATGTGTGTGTGTGTGTGTATATATATATATATATATATATATATATATATACACATCTGCGAAAAATTGTAGATTCTCGAAATTTTTAAATGACACAATTATAGCTTTAAGTTTAAACGCTTATACAACATATACTCTATGATAAGAGACATTTCAATTTTACAATATGTTTATAATGTAGAGTATTGAAATACAAAAATAACTGATATTGTTTATATGTATATACACACATAGGCGTGATAATAGATGCATCTGTATTTTGTAGGCCTCGCTGTACCCTGAATACTCGCATGTGATACAAGATAAAAATCAATGTGCTCTGGATGGGTAATAGTCATCATTTCTATGATTCAATATTCACATATTTGATAGAATGCCAGCATGTCTGAACAAAAAATATCCTTGTGTGCTTGTTGGCGCCGACGTGACTCATCCGTCTCCCGATTCTAAAGATTCACCATCTATAGCAGCGGTTGCTGCAAATAGAGATAAATCAGCTTTCCGATATAATGTTGCACGTAGACTTCAACAACCCAAAGAAGAAATGATTTTAGATCTTGAAGAAATAATACTAACACAACTTGGAGTCTATCTGCAGGATACAAAATGTTGTCCAAAGAGAATCGTTTATTATCGAGACGGACTCAGCGAGGGGCAACTTCCACAAGTTATGTATTACGAAATAGGAGCTATTAAAAAAAGCTGTCATCGTTTTTAATAAATTCACTCGCGGCAGTAATATTGAAATTAATTGCTTGATTGTTCAGAAGAGACACTTCCCTAAGTCCACCAATATGAGTGACACCGAGGACACAAGAAATTATAACGTGAAAGCGGGTACAATTTTCGACACGACTATTTAGACTATTACCCATCCAGAGCACATTGATCTTTATCTTGTATCTCATGCTAGTATTCAGGGTAGGCCTACAAACAGGCCTACAAAATACAGATGCATCTACAACGAATCCAACTTTACCGAAGATCAGATTGAAGAGTTGACATATTATCTTTGTCATATATATGCCCGCTGTGGAAGAGCGATTTCAAGGATTTCCGAGGATCGCTTTGCAGTTGAGACATAATCCATTAATGTGTTAAGTATTGTTCCTGCAATTAATTAGTCACCCCGTTATCTAAATCATTGTACATTATAAATATATTAGGAAATTACATACATTTCTATATAATTTCCAAATTTTTCTTCATAAAGGAATTATTAAAGTTCAAAGCACGTTTATTACAAATATAATTGTTTTTTTTCTTTTTTCTTTCCACTTTATTGGGATTATCAGATCCCTTTAAAAGAGCACGGAATTAACAAAATCAAATCAAATAATCTTGAGTTTATTTTTGAAACCTATTACTTATTTCAACGGGAACATATTTTTCCACTTAGAAATATATATGAGACAGGATTGAGAATCAAACTCACGTCTTTCACGTCTTTACCACTGAGCCAGCGACACTCTCGTCTTTTTTATCTATAAAACTGCTGTTGATGTTGTGACCATTGTGGCTGCGGTGGCGGTGGCGGTTGTTGCTGAGAATGCTGAGACGGTGGTGGACCGTATTGAGGGTCCTGTATATAACCAGTAGGCGATGGTCGTATGGAGGTCGGTGCCGACGATACGTACTGTTGTTGCTGCTGCGGCGGCGGCGGTGGCGGCACATAGGACACCTGAGTGGGATGCTGCGGCTGTGGATAGTACTGTTGTGTCGGCTGTGACACCGGTGGTGGCACATTATAACCGCCGTAATTGACTGGCGGTGGTGGCGGCGGAGGCGGGGGCGGTGGCGTCGAATAATAATGATGACTCTGTTGCGCGTGAAGATCGTGCGTGGCTAGAGACGACGTATCCTGGATCGGCACAGTGATGAGATTGGTCCGCATAGGGGCGTTACTCGAAGGCGGCGGTGGCGGCGCAGTGCTTTGCGCGTAACTTTGCATTGACATCATCGCTTGTTGCTGTTGCTGCTGCTGCTGTTGCTGTTGCTGCTGCCTATGCTGTTGCCGATGTTGCTCTAACGTTGGCTGACTCACCAGTGAATTCACACGAGGATCGTTACCCATGATCGGTTGAACCATGTGAGATTGCACGGATTTAAGCCGCGTGTTCTGCATCTGAACGGAGGACACCTTTGTTAGCTGCGACTCCATCTCTGGTTTGGTGTGTACATATTGCGGAGGATCGACCTGCATCCCTTGGACCGGTTGGGGTGGTGCCGATATATGTCGATGATTAATATGAGCCTATACAACAAATTAAATTTTAATTACACTTCTTCTGACATAACATTATTGTATCTTATATAACATTATTATTAAAAATATAACATATTCTTGTTATACGAAGAAAGATCGTTTCTAGAGCTACGGTCCACTTGATACGATAAACGCTTCGAAATATTTGATTGATCAATCAGAACAAAAAAAATATACGCTTTATAGCATTTGTAGCAGCAATTGACCGTAGCCTAAGATAGTTAAATGATAAATAAAGAATCATCTTGGAGTTTGAATTGATTTAGCGCGACTTTCGGATTTGCTACGAACAGCTCTAATAATTTACCTATTAATTCTCGTATTTTGTTTCGAGTTACAAATAGTGCTCTGCTGTGTTACAAAGATTGTTGATTCTTTGAATCTTATTCGTCGCGAGTAAATACCAAAAATTTTGAATGTAACAATATTTTTAAGTTCAAATTTTACATCGTTAATTATTAATTATGTATTATATACAAACATTCCTGCGCGTTTAATGTGCAATTTTATCGATATTCATTTACCTGTAAATCCCGTTGGCTAAGATACGTCCTCCTGCATCCAGCATTTCCGTATCTTGTTCCGCCATGTGTACACATGAATACAGTACCCAGACCGGTTTGCTCCACTCTAGATACCTTCTCCATGCAACGAGGACAGACTTTGTCCTCTCTCTTAGCACAAGACAGGCAGAAAACATGTTTGCAAGGTATCTGAAAAATTAAATACAGATTCATTAGGAGCAATAATTAGGAACTATTAGGGGTTAATTTAACGAGAAATATGGGATGGTTGCGCGTGAGAGCGATCGACTCATAATTGACGGCTTCCGGATTTGATCCCGATCCTCATCCCATATATCTCGGTGTGAAGCAGATTGCAAGTAAAGGAGTAGCGAATGGTTATTTTATTAGGGAACACATCCGTTAAGCCCTTTGCACAATAGGCGATAGCGATAGCGACAGCGACAAGATTGCCGACAAAGCTATACCTTTGTCGGCAACTTTATCGCTGTCGCTATCGCTATCACTATCGCCTATTGTGCAAGGGGCTTTAATCATATTTCAATAAGATTTAATGCAAGAAATATAAATTCCTTAGTAATATAAATACCACTTTAATGACAAACGTACCATGCGGCCATAGATGAGTATAGGCTTCAAACATTTGTCACAGCAATGTATCATAGGATTCAATACTTTCTCTCCTATAAGATTCACTCGATGATCCCATCTCAGACGCAGCATCGGCTCAGGTGGACCACGGTTGATAGTCGTGAAAGTCGGTGCTTCCAGCTGTGATATATCAGCCTCCAAGTCAAACTGTTGCTCGAGAGAGGGTTGCTGAGCCACGGGAGGTTCATGTTCGTCCTGCTCACCACCAACTGTTTCCACGGAGTTGTCCTCTGCTTGCTGTGGAGTGTCTTCATCATCACTTTCGATAACCTACAAGCAATTTCAATGCATCAATATTATACAATATCGAATTATTGTTGGTACAATATTGAATTCGATTGAAAACGTAATGTCTATTATTTATTATGTAAATCCATTAAAAAAAGTCGGCTGTATAGAAAAACAATATTGACAAGAGAAAAGAGACCGTCAGATTCGGCGTTAAACCCATGTGTAGGTCCCATGTGCTTGTGTACAAACTGTGTGCGCACCACAAGCACATGACTTTGAGGGAGGCCCTAGGTCCGACTCCGGACTGTTGCGCCATTGAAATGAATGAATACTGATCTTTGGGCGCAACATTTAACCTTTAGACCGCCGGAAAGCCTAAATATAGGCTCTACGTATGATCGGAACTTTGTATATGTTATATATAAGATATAAGCACAACAATTTGAGGACTTTCTAAGAGGATTAAAGCTCATCAAATGCCGGCGGTCTAAAGGTTAACAGCGTATTTTTTAGACTGATTTACCTTAACTGGCTTCTTGGATCTTCCTCTGGTCCGACCCCGGGTACGTCCACGAGCTCGACCGCGAGATCTGCCCCTCATTCTCTTACTTCCATTCTCTTCCATCGCTGAAATCAATACATTATACTTGATTCCATTGTTATCAGATTGCTATATGCTTTAATATCACAACGGATCAATTTTTTTTTTTACAAAGACAATGTTGAACTTCTATAAAAATTCATCGTTAGAAATAGAAGGGGATAGTCACTAATAATTTATTCGTGCATCATTTATAGCTAATCAACGAAACGCGAGTAAGCTACGCACACAAATTTTCAACGATTAGAAGAAAATAACGTTTGGAAATTTTAAATTGAGAACGATGAAATGTACATTCGGAATCTGAGTCAGAAATAATTTTCATGTCGCCAATCCAGCTTCTCCCTCGGAAAAGAATCGAATTCCTGGCACGGTAATCCGTGCCTCGAGCGAAGCGTTTAGGTTACGTTCCAGACGGTTATCCGGGCGCTTCTCGAGGACAAAGGCGACGTTTCGTGGTAGGGCGAGACGGTGACTGTAAATGGCGATACTCACAACTGGAGTTTGACGATTAAAACGGGTGGGTTTGTTTCGCCTAGAGCCGCCAAATAACAATGTTTTCACAACATGCCGTCGGCGATCCGTGCGGCCGAACGGCGCGATCAGTGTTGATAGATGGGCCGCCTTTCTCGCGCATGAGCATCGAACGTGACATCACCGAAGTACTTTCATTCAAATATAACAGCCACCCTTATTGTTAGAACGTATAGTGCATTCTTATTGACAACGTATCGATTTCCATTTTCTGACAAAAATATACTTTGTGTTTTTGGAATTTCCATTACGTTAATAAAATATTTAAAAAATATATATGATTAATTATACACGTCATTATTGTTAAACTAAAATATATCATTATTACTATTAAATTAAAACCAATGTTATTTATAACATAAATCAACAATGTGGTGATTAGTCAAGTCGATGCTTATTTTGTTCAATATACATTTGTTGAGATAATCACCAAGCAAATTAACTGCCTCCTTCCTCTTCTTCCTTGGATATCTGTCTCTGGTCGGGACGTGGCATTACGCTTTCCTAATCCTTTCAACTTTTGTTCTTCAATTAACCTTTCATAAGCGTTGTAAATTAAAAAAAAAATTATTTATAACATAAATTAACAAACAAAGAATTAGTGATAATTAAGTCAATACTTATTTTGTTTAATATATGTATATTTGTTCGGCGAGAATTAACCGGCAAGCAAATTAGCTGCCTTCTTCCTCTTCTACCTTGAATATCTGTCTCTGATGGGGCATGGTATTACGTTTTTTCCCAATCCTTTCGACTCTCATTCTTCAGTCAACCTCTTTTATAAACGTGAGAATAAATCTGCCGATTATGTCAACTTCGCTTCTACAAGAAGCTTCAATAATCATCTCCTTTAAAAACCCATTACCTGTCAGCCTGTCACCGTTGCGTCGCGCATGCGCAAGACAGAGAACTCCGACAATCAAACTGACAGCGACAGCCATTCATTGAAATGTTTATCTCCATGTGACGTGTGCGTTCGTTGCCGTGGAAACGATACTACGCCGGAACGCGGCCCGCATGGCCGTCCGCAGCGACTACGGCGCCCGCCACAAGGAGATAATAAAACTGGAGCTTTCCAGTTCCGATCTTATATTCTTTTACGCGTTGTTCGAATCAGTTAAGAATTCAGCTTTGCGGCGAGCTCCGATTAATCTAGTCGGCGATTGACTCGTCAAGTTACACTTGCAGTACTTAGTTAATAAAATTATTAATTCTTTGACGCATGAAAGAATTAGATTAAACTATAAGGAATTCCCGCCCTTTTTTATCAAGAGGGGGCCGCTATTATAATATTAAAATCTTTATAATGACCGTGGGAACCCCTAGATTAGACGGACAGCGAACTATATATATATATATATTCAGAAATTTCGCCGCGAGCAAATTCTGCCGGTCGAATCAGCCGGAATCAGCCGCGGTCTTGGGAGGGGCTCCTTTACGACCGACGCCTAACGGCTACGGCACTGGGCGTTGTACTCCACGGTCACGGTGAATCAAAAGGGACGCGCGCGGCGGCAACAATAACCGACTCCGCGGGGACAAGTGCCTTAGCTGCTTGTTGAACGTGGTGGTGCAGTGGTGGTAAACAGACGGAAAGGATGTCCTGCTGCGCCGGTAGCAAGAACGAGGAGCGGGCCGAGCCGACGCGGGTGCGGGGATGCACGGACGTCGTTTGGCTTTGCCTCTTCGTAGCGTTCTGGTTTCTCATGGTACCTACACAGTTGACGCTACACACGCCTAATATGCCACGCATTCGTTTCTGCCTCTTTTCTTCTTCGCGTAGAGGAGACGCATCTGCAGCCTGAGCCTTCTGATTTGTTTTTTTAGACAGCTAGGTCTATCGAGAATAGATTCTGTAAATCGTTCATTACAAATTTATTAACGAAAATGCAGGATTTTTGACATAGAGACAGCAGAGTGCTGGCAGAAATTTGTCAACAAAATAGGACAGTGGAAATCAAGTAGATTTTTTAAAGTACTTGCTTAACAGATCAGAAAATCTGCATTCAACAGATTCTGTTGTCAGTCTGTTATTGTTACATTATGTCAACAATGCCCGTCATTGGAACCCAAGCTTTCTGTAATCAGCCTGAGCCTAATTTGCTGCAATTTCTGCTTGAATTTGCTGGCAAACTGCTGACGTTAATGTTTACTCATTGGATGTAGTTGTTATCAAAATCAGAGATAATTGAAAGTGATGACGTGTGACAGTTTAGCATTCTTAAATTGTAGTTCCATTTAGAAAGAGGCACTTTGCTTATTGCGATTTTTGGCTTTTATAAATAAACCCTTTGGAGTTCACAATTTAACGCGATAATTTATTTACCCGCAGATCTTGATTGCTGCCTTTGCTATAGTCTACGGTAATCCTGTGCGGCTCATAAATGGATACGACAGTTTCGGGAACACGTGCGGCATGAAGAATAATCCAAAGTTTGGTAGCATGGAGCTTTCCGGGCAAGACACCAGCGACAAGCCGTCAGTGTCTCATACAATTCCTCCTAATTTATCCAGAGCATTTATTCCTGCAACAATACCTCTGAAAATGCATATTATGTCACATTCCACAGATACTTGTTCTTCCTGGATATAATGAATGTCACGCAGTCATTGAAGATTTGCGTGAAGAAATGCCCCGACAGAATTTTGTCCAAGATGGAAGACATCTGTCAATTTTACAAAGAGACGGGATCGCAGCTGTGCCACGATAGACCGGGCAGTAATTTCAGCGCGTGCAACAGCGAGAGTAGTATATTCAAGAACGGATCTTGCCCTGAGCGACCGGTTTATCCCAGCACGCCCGTTTTGAATCGATGTATCCCTAGGGCGGTGAAGGAAGTGAGCGAGACGATAATCTCAAATTTATACGGCTTAATCAACTCGTGGGATGTTATCGAACAGGTTTTGGGAGACATATATAAAACCTGGAGGCAAATTCTGGCGTTATCTTTTCTCGCCTGTGGTAGGAATCTAGCATATTATCGCATGACAATGGATATATACAAACTGTATACAGGGTATATACTTACTTAATCTTTTTCTTCCAGTTTTATCTCTCTTTACAATAGCCATCTTTCATTTATTGGCAAGTATTGTAACGTGGATTATAATCGTACTTGTAAGCATTGCTAGCGTAGGTGAGTTACATTTTAGAAAAATATTAATATAATCTAGCTCTCTCTTTCTTTTCGATAAATATGTATACATTCATAAATTAAGCATGTAAATGTATGATGCTTGCAGCAACAATGTTGTGAATAAATACATCAATAGATAATATGTGCGCTTTTCGCAGAAAGGAATTGAAGAATTAAAGCGAGAAAGAGGTTTATCAAGATAATATTTTTACAAATTATTATAAAATTGTATAGTAAATTGCTTAAATATTGTATACTTATTACTGATTAATGATTGTTGGTTAAACAAATATAGAAGTAAATTTAGCTATCCACTTAAACTTGGAAATTCACATGTAGTACTTAGAGAATTTGATACTTTACAATAGCTTTGATTATAATATAACGTTATTAATTTTATTCTCTAGTTTTGAGAATGTACATAGATGCTACATAGACATATTTATATCTGTATCTTTATAATGTAAAAAATTAGTTTGTGGAATATAAATTGATGTAAAACTTAGTTTATAAATTATGAGATTATTGTAAAAATAGCTATTTATGTATTTATCTTTTTTTAGATTACTTATATATTTACACACATGTAAATTATCATTGTACAGTCGCCGCCAATGATTCCTTTCCTGAGGTATTCTTATGTTCCCCCCTTATCCCAGGAAAGGAATCATTGGCGGCGACTGTACATAAAAATTGTCATACAAATTTTATTACAAAAAAGTATTATATTATAGCTGGCACAATTCTTTTATGGCTGACATATGTTGATATTAAGAAAACCTTGGACAAAACTGATCAAAATGAACTTCTCGAAGAAGCTGTAAGAAATGAAAGAGCATTTCTCGCATTTTCCATTATCGCTACTATTATCACTGTAAGTGTGACATTTTATAATAAAAAAAGAAAGATATATTTTATTATAAATAATAATAAAATAATAAAATTTTTTCTCTTTCTCTGTCATAATAATCTTTTTTTATTTTGCAGGTTATTTTATTATTTCTTTCATGTATATTACGCAAACGCATCAGCTTTATGGCGGTACTATTTAAAGAAAGTGCAAAATGTTTAAAAGAATTACCTGGTTTATTTTTCCAACCAATCTTAACATTTATATCTTTGATACTATTTTTTGCCTTCTGGGTATTTGTAATTCTTTGTCTTGCAACAGCAAGTAGGTATTTTATAGTATTTAAAGAAAACAAGCTTATTTTATGACCAAAAATTAATTCTCTATGCTTTTTTATAGATTATCCTGAGACAAAGTCAGTGCAAATGTACAAAAATACTATATTTGATCCTGTAAACTTAAGCCTGATTGGTGACAAGGCTCCATTAATTGAGGAGAAAAAAATAGATTTTTCTCTTGATTCTTTCAAAAGTAATGTGTCTTGACATATATATACACATGTATGTGTCTTATACAGAATTTACACAGATAGTCAAATAAAATATATTATTAAACATTTCAGCTTTTACTCTCGTGGAATACGTTGATGCGACTTGGGTGAAATACATGTGGTGGGTGTATCTTATAGGACTAATATGGATATCAGAATTTATTGTTGGATGTCAAGTCATGGTAATATCGGGTTCCGTTGCCCACTGGTATTTTAGGTAATATTTTACAACATATTGATGATAGAATTATGTAAGACTCCTTTTTTTTTACTTATACTTTAATAATGACCAATTTCTTTTATTAGAGGTAAAAACAGCAGCTCATATCCAGTATGTTCATCCATAGGACATTTAGTCTGCTATCATATGGGCTCTGTGGCGTGTGGATCACTTTTGATAACCATTTTTAAATTGCCAAGATTGATTTTAACGTATCTGCACGCCAAGTAAGTTTCTCCATAAAAAAAGATCCAAGTGATGCTCTTGCTTCCCACCAAGGATCTTTCGATCATTGATTAGATTCTTGAGTACACATCATCGTTTATTTTACAGATTCGAAAAAACTAAGGAAACGTCCCCATGCGCTCAGTGTGGTTTAAAAGCCTGTATTTGCTGTTTCTACTGTCTAGAGAAATTCATTCGATACATGAATCACAATGCGTACACCGTTGTTGCTATAGAGGGTACCCACTTTTGTAATGCGGCCAGAATAGTACGTTCTATAAAGATTTTATATTTATAAAGAGTAGAAAGAAGTAACAGATATAATACTCTTTATAATAGAATAATATACACATTTTATCAATATAATGAGATGTTTATAAATTTTTTTATATTTGTAAATTTATTTATTTTTTTCCAGGCTTTTACAACACTCGTCAGTAATGCTCTTCAAATAGCAGTGATCAATGGATTCGGCGATTTTATATTGTTCCTGGGAAAGTGTTTCGTTACAGCTGCAACCGGAAGCGTCGCATTACTTTTCATGAGACAAGATCCTGAGCTACATTTTTACGCTATTCCGATTTTTATCGTTTGCGTTTTTTCATTTTTCATTGCTCATTGTATAATTTCCCTTTACGAGGTGAGTCAAATACATACATAAACATGATATGTTTGTCGATACATTTTCTTATGTATATGAGAATGATTTATCAACTAAGACCTTTTATAATAAATTAATTTGTTATTATAGACCGTTATCGACACACTGTTCTTATGTGTATGCGAGGATAAGAATTTAAACGGTGAAAATGGAAAGTGGCGTCAGTCTGCGTTAGCACAAATCGGAGCCTCTAGCAGCAATACAAACGGACAACAGTCTCACGAAATGACACCGATGAACGAATAAGTATCTGATACTTTAGACGTATCTTTTTTATACACATTTTTACACACATTTTTTTTAGTACGATAGAATACTTTTGCATTTTATCACTCGTACATCTAATAAGAACTAATAAGAGTACATTCCTTTCGACATTCACGCGTGCAATATTTGTATTGCTATACAAATAACTTTATAAAAACCTGTCTCGAAAGTTGTTTTTATAATGCTTAGAGATATTTAAATCATGTGAAGATATGATCGTTCATAAAATATTTTTAATATATTACGAAATATATATGGATAACAATAATATAAAGCGAAATATATTTAATACTTTCATCAAATTGTGCATAATTTCATAATATTGTAATTTGTATTATAATATTTTCTTCTCATGATGTTTAAAGTATGAACGTTCATCTCTTAAGACTACAGGTCTTTTTTTGCGACAAGCCAGAATTTTTTGAATTATTGTTATACTTTTGCTATCTCAAAGATGTTTAGGCAATCTTGATTCGCACGCAAAAATCTCGTAATCGTAAGTGACTTACTATTTGATATAAAATGAGAACTAATACGGCGTCAATTAGTTGCTCACTTTGAGATTTCCAATTGTTTCCAATCAGCTTGTACTTAGCGCCAACTTTTGATTTAACTGCCAGACTTTAAAATACTAAATATCTTATAATAATCACTAGAATCATTGAAGAGATTAGACTACGATTATATTTTATAAGAATTTTTCATTTTATGGAATGTATGTTTTATTCGATACTGAATATCGAATTGATGAACAAAGTATAGATTAGATTTATATCTTTTCTAAACTTTGTATCATCAAAGTGCCATTGCACAAGCTGAAAACTCTGTGTCTTAAGAATTGTTGTAATAAGAAAATAAGAACTAATATTTTTAGATTTTAAGTGCACATACAAAAGAAGCAAGTGCAAGTCAATGTTATAAAGAAAGTACAATTATTACAAGGCAATATGCATTTGAATGCAGCTAACAATAAGTGCAATTATGTGTAGTTCAAGGAATTTTCTACATGTAAGATGTGGATTATCCATTATGCTGATGAAATCAAAATTGCTCATCTGCTCATTGCAAATGGAAAATCTATTTTCTAAACTTTACACAACCATCATTCCTTCCAGACATTTTTTAAAAATAAAGACCAAAAAAATTCACACCTAGATAATAAGAGGCTTTCATATTTTGATGTACAAAATATTTTAAGCTATTTTAATAAAATGTATTAAGCAGGTACTTGTATGAGATAAACTAAAAATATATATGTATATCACTAAGTTTCTAAGATATATTTAAAATCCTTTAGATTGATATATGAATTTGTGTTAATAAACATGGTATATTAATAACAAAGTACAAAATAATATGATTCAACATATTCTAAATATTCAACGGTATTAATATTTTACATCATCGATATTAAGCAACTGTACTAATACTCTCTCTCTCTCTGAGAAAGTTTATTTTTCTCTAATATTATGCATAAGATACATGGTCGTGATTGAAGAAAAATTTTTAGTTTTGAATCGTTTAATTATCAAGTATCTGAAGGATTTGCGGGAACAGTATTTTTCTCTCTCAAGAAAAGAAAATTTAAAGTTTATTATATTTTACATATTTTGTGTGTGTGTGTGTGTGTGTGTGTGTGTGTGTGAATAATATACTACAAAATTATTCAGTTAATCTTCATGAAATTATACAATATTATATGAATAAAGTAAAAACTGGAAAAATTTTTCATTTGTATTATTTTCTTATAATGAATAACAAGACATAGAGATAGATCTGAAAAATTATTTCTTCCTTCATAACAGAAGTTTTAACGGATATCAATATTTCGCAATTAATATTAAACACATTTGTTTTATAAATAGATCTTACATAAAACTAATTAAAAATAAGATTTCTGTTATTTTAAAATTATTTTAAATTTTACTTAATTCATTTAGATATTAAATAATTCTGCAATATATTCAAGAAAACGCAATACACTCATTTATTTTATCATATATGTACTTTATTAGCAATATTACAAAATCATAACATTTATTTTATTTTCTTTTTTTTCAAGCCTTTTGATTTTACAGATTTTCCTTTTTTAACTTTTTTAACTTTTTTAGCTACCACAGGCTTCTTTTTTATCTTTTTTACCTTGTTTTTTACAGGCTTTTCCAAGTTCTCATTTTTATCATCCTCCAATTTTTCTTCCATTTCTATTGCTTTCTCCATTATATCACCTTTAAATATCTCATCTGTGGGATTAAATGCGTAAGATAACTCAGGTTTAGTTGCCTGTTGCACCATTTTCTGCTCAACTCTGTTTTTATACTTATTAGCAGCCTTTTTTGTCAATGATTGTCGAAACTGAAAATGTTTAAATTACACAAAAATATAATATTTTACAGGTAAATAATAAAAACAAGTCAATCATAATGCATTCAACAAATATAAATGTTGAATTACCTTGGCAGGGGAAATATAATGAGGATTATCCCACAAAGTGTCACTGCCGAAACTTCCACTAAATATCTTGACTGGATTCAAGACAAACCTTGGGCCAATTTCGGCTAATGCGCCGTCCTCTGTTAAAATTTGAAAATTTCGGAACCATATCCTGTTATCCAGAATGCTGAACGTGTATACATGATCGAAGAACGGTTGACTTTTAGGGTGATGATTCGGCACACCAAAGATCTGCGTCAGCAACTCCTTCAAGAGACAGTAATGCGCGTGTGTGGTAAAATTTTCATCAAATGACAATAACGGCCGAGTCCCTTTCAAACAGTTTCCCGTCATCTTCAGCTCTCCCATTGTATAAACTGCAAACAAAAAATGAGTCAAGTACAATTATTATGCAATATTCTTTAAAATCTATCTACACACATTTCAATAACACTAATAATTTATACACAATATTTAAGCAACTTAAATAATAATAAGTTATACATATAATTTACCATTTTCTACAAGAAATTTTGCGCTTGGGCCAGTGGGAACATTAGCGAACCACACATAAAGATCTCGCTTCATTCGACCTTCAAACAGGACAGCCTTATTGCAATTCTTCACCCCGCACATTTCGTTCACCACCTGCAAATTCTTGGTACGTTCCATCTTGCATTCTGGACGGTGATGCGGCATCAGTCTCTTCAAGTCCTCCATCAGATGTCGATGCCTATGATTGATACCTCGAGTGGCGAACACCAATACCCGTTGTCTGTTGACCCATTTCGCCTGTAGGAAAAAATTATCATTTAAATTTTCTCCGTCATTGATAAACCAATCTGTGCAAGTTTACACAAATATAATAAAAGATTGTAGAAAACAAGAGACAAATTGCAAATCTTAATTGTTCCTTTTGAACCGTTAATTCAACAGATTTGATTGAACATGCTGCTCAAAAGAATTGTTGATATATTTCACAAGATATAATTTTGTTCATTTAAAAGCGCACAATGTTAAAACTATATTGAAAAATAACGTATAGGTTAAGAACCTTTTTAGTGGCAGGTTCATCTGACGTTATCTTTTTCGGTTTTTCAGCTTTTTTCTCCACATCTTCCTTCTGCTTCCTCTTTAATGTTTTCGTCATTATAAGAATGAACGAAATAAATAGCAACGAGCAGAATAAAATAAAATAATAGTTTCTTGACTGCAAAATGAGGGGATTCAAAAGTACAGCTACACGCTACACTACACGTGTTTCGTGAGTTTCGTCATGTTGCACAGAGCCGCCAACCGTTTTAACAAAAAAAGCGGCTCGGTGATGCTTTAAAATGATTGGTTCTTGCCTTCAGTTCTTCGCTGGATCTGGCTGGATCCAAGCGAAGAAACCAATAAAATAACAAAGAAATGGAGTTTCTAACCTATTTGGCCCGTGTATCTTCGCTAAATGCGACCGTCGACCGCTCGCTCGTTTTTCTTCACTCAACATCGTTTTGTCCGGTTTTGCCCTGTGCAATTAATCCTGCCACTGTCCGCGGCTGTAATAAATGTGAATATTAATATAAGACATATACGATATTGCAAAACAGATGGTAAACAATGTACTTGTCGTTTTAGGTTAGATTATGGGTAGACACTGCTGCGTCTTAGGATGTTCCACCGGGGTGAGTCTACCCTCTCACACCTTTCCCAAAGACGTCATTATGATGAACAAGTGGAGAAGGGCGGTTTATTCGGAGAGAATACGAGATATGACCAACGAGCAATTGAGAAAGTGCGTCGTATGCTACAGGCACTTTGCCGATACCGATTACGAGGCGATGTACAGATTGCGAAGGTTGAAACCTGGCGTTGTGCCGTCCTTACACCTGCCGAATAGTGGTAGTAATAACACTGAAACAAATAATAATAATGACACTGAAATAAATAATGATAATACTGAGATTACTGTGAGTACGATAGAATCCGAGAGCTTAATGGATACGAGCGTGACTGATGATCAAGTTGAAGAAATTGAGATAATAGAAATAATAGAAGAGCATCCTGTGGTAGAAGTTAAAGTAGAACGACAAAGTACTCCAATAAATAATGGTACTCCAATAGACAATAGTACTCCAATAGACAATAGTACTTCAATAAATAATGGTGCTCCAATGATCAATAGTACTCCAATAAATAATAGTACTCCGACAAATGAAGATTCTTTAGAATCGGAGCCTTCCTCGCCGAAAAATTCAACGCCCAGTTTGTTAGATCTTCATACTTTACTGCAGGGAAAGTGCTTTCATAAATTTACGCCAAAAATGTGGAAGTTGTACAAGTTGTCGTGTATATTAAGAAAGAAGCAAGAGGTCGTTATAAAGAGGCAGTTGTCGTTTCGCGAACGTATAAAGCAAGCTAAGCAATATAGCAAAAGCGCCGCTATAGACAAACTACTGTCTTCATTAACGCCGGTCCAACAAACGTTTCTTCAAATGCAAATAAGAGCAACGAAATATGCCCCTAGGGTACGTAAGTAGAATATTATATTATAGTATAATGAGACGATTATATATAAACTCTTATGACGGATTGATCTAATTTTATTTGCAGGATAGACGTTTCACACTGGACGAAAAGATTGCAGCTTTGTCTATCATGAAACAATCCAGTAAATGTTACCAATACTTGACGCAAGTTTTCAATCTGCCCAGCGTACAAACATTACGATCTATACTTCAGAAAGTTAACGTTCATCCGGGCCGAATTAACTTTATAAATCGACAACTGAAAAAGCAAGTAGGACTGATGAAGGAGAGAGACAAGGTGTGTCTTTTAATGTGGGACGAGATGCTGTTGCAACTCCATGTGGACTACGACGCGAAGAAGAAGCATATTGTTGGTTTTGAAGATTTCGGCAGTAAGAGACGAGCGCGATTCGCCGATCATGCGTTAATTTTTATGGTACGCGGCGTGCAAAGTGGATGGAAGTTCCCGCTGGCGTATTACTTTTGTGACGGTGCGACAAAAACTGATCAACTCGCCGAATGGATCAAAGATGTTGCCAAAATTGTAATTGACAGTGGATTGCACTTAGTCGCCTTTATGTGCAATGACGGAAAGAGGAATCTCATGGCTATAAATAAGCTGAAATTGGAATCGGCGAGGCTCAAAAAGAAACGAAGACAATTATATTGTAAGTGCGCTTTTTATCAAATGATTATTGCCTATAAAGATTATAGCTACATTTATTATGCAATTACTATTTTATTAAATTACGTATATAATTATATTTTAATTACTATATTAAATATAATATCTCCTATATCTCTTTAGATGGTTATATAACAATAAAAAAGCAAGACATAATCCCATTATTTGATCCACCACATCTCATCAAAGGCATACGCAACAATTTATTAAATAACGATCTCGAGTTTGACTGTGAGGAAGGAGAAGAACGAAAATTTGCGTCGTGGGAGATCATCGAACAAGCGTATCACATGGACTTGACTCACAGCATGTATCGATTAATGCCGAAAATTACTGCGGAGCACATAATAAAAAGTAAAATGAAGAAAAAGAAAGTTAAGAACGCCGCACAGGTTTTAAGTACGACGATGGGTGGTTTCATACACCACCATACGAAATTAGAAGGTATTTGTGCAAACTTAATATTAAGACTAGAGCCTAATGTAATTATTACGTACTTGATTATATGATTATTAAGACTATTGAGTTATTTTTTTATATATTCTTTTGTAGGATACGTGAATACGATCTACGGACCATTAAAGATGCCGGAAAAGAAGGGACGGGATACGGCGGAGATAATACTTTTCTTCGACCGATTGTTCGATTCCGTAAACGGGCACACGTTGAAGCCGGAGAAACCGTTAAGAGTTGCCATTTCGCACAACAGTCCGCACTTTCCGTTTTGGGAGAGGGCGGTAAAGCGGCTGCAGAGAATGCGGTTTGTCGATCGAAGGAACAAGAATCAATTGAGAGATTCGGTTATCTTGAAAAATTGGGTCACCACCGTCAGGGGATTGCGCAAATTGTGGATAATTTTGAAAGCGTACGAATTCAAATGCCTGAAGCCGCGAATTTTGAACCAGGACTGCCTTCGACATTTCTTCGGGCAGATCAGGTCCTTCGGCGTGAGGAATACCAATCCCACGTGCATGGAGTTCGAGAGTTCCTTTAAAACGCTGTTAATCAACAATCTGACGTCACCTCGCACCGTGGAGAACACCAGCGAGAATAAAATAGACGGGTCGTTGTTGTTCACGTTAAAAGAGTTCATCTGCAAGGAGGGCGAATGCAACGACAATTCGTCGGAAGATCTGCAAACGTTAGACCTGGAGAGGCCTTCGGACGCGACGCGCGAATACCTGAGCATCTGCAATTCTATCGCAGCGAAAATCCTACACGATTCGCGTATCGAAGGATGCGACACGTGTAAAAATCTCCTGACAGACGTCACGAAGTCTGAATTAGTTAGCAACGATGATTTGACGAGGACGTTTGAAAGTGCCGACGAGATATTAAGGCCGAATATGAGCAACGTTTGTTACGCGCATCACACGGCGCTGATGTTGGAAACCGAATTGTACACGCAATTGGATTTACGCTGGTTGAACTGTCCGCGGCACGGTGCCCTGCTCAAAAAGTTGTTAGTATCGTTTGCAGTTGGATTTTACATCGAGAAGTGGTGCGACAGTATAAACGAAATTTTAACGCAGAAAGACCATGACGATTCGTCGAAATAGGGAAACAGAACAAAACGTGCCTATGTAAAATATAAAATCAAAGTGGTATTCATATTCATATTCGTAGTCAGATCTTGTACTTTAAGATCGTCTCACGTTTTATCTTCAGACGCTAGTACGACTCGTTTTATCGACTACAAAATATCTAAAAAAAAGATGAAGATCTTATATATAAGATCTGATTGTGAATACCGGCCAAAGTGGATTTTAATATAATAAAATATAATTTATATCTGTTTTGTGTTTTCGATTGTACCGTTATCATAATAATATATCTTTTGTAGAAATCTGTGCCTCGATCGAATTTAAATTCAAAAAATCGCGCTTTTTTTTATCTTCCGATTTCTACCCCTATATGTATGAAATTTCATATATGGAATTTCAAATTGCATTAACTCCGACCAATCAACGATTCCAACTAAGTTTGAAAGTGAGCTTACGCCTTATCAAATCGTAAAGATATGTATGTATTTATATAAATTATAAAATCAATATTATGTTATGAATTAAATTCTAAAAATCGCGCAATGATAAGACCAACGATCACCCTGTTGCATGAAAAAAAAAAAAAATCCAAGTTTGTTCGCGCTCGTTCGCGCGATTCGGATTCGCCTTAACGTGGCGTGCAAATCCTTGCGGACGCGTCGTAAGGTCTAGTAAACGCCTCGCGGAGGAGTCGCGCGAGCGCGCGACTCGTGTGCCGTCCCCCCCCCCCCCCCCCGCCCCCCTCGGGCCAGTATTGGTGAGCGACTGAGCGAAGCTGTTGGAGAGTCTCGTGTCGTTCGAACATGGCAGCGGTGATCTCGGAACTCGACTCGCGTGACGGTCGCCCGTGATTCATCGGACGCTGATGAAACGACAAATATGAACGGTAGGCCGGCGCGGCGGAGTGATACGTGCCCGTTGACACGGAACCGACGACGGGGAACGAGGACGCCGGGGTCGTCGCGAACGAGCTTTTCGCCGAGGTGAGTTCCCCCCTCGCTTTTCGCACGAGTTTCTTCTTCCGTTTACCACGCGCCGTGGAACAAAAAAAGTCGCGAGACTTGGCGATTCGCTCAAAGCGGTTTAAATATAAAAAAGCGAAACGGCTATTATAAAAGTTACCGTAAAGGCGCGAGTTGAACGTCAATTCGCCGCGGCGTGTAGAACCGCGCGGTCGTCGGGACGTCGGCGTCGGGAGAGCGACGGGGGATCGAAAACGCCTCGCGGAGTGAGTGCCGATATATCCATGACAGGCCGCTATATCTCCGTGGGGTGAGACGATTGATTGTCCACTTCTCTCTTTCTCTCCCTTGTGACGTTCCATTGTCGGTCGCGCGACCGTCACGCGGGGCTCGTTCGCCGCCTTCCCCTCCGTGCTCCGTATACCGTTAGCCTTCCCACGGGTGGTGGTGGGTGCGAGTCACACGAGGAGAAGCGCCGTCCGAGAACGATAGTATTTTGACAGAGGGGGAGAGGGGGAGAGAGAGGAGGAAGAAAAGAAGAGTAGAAAGAGGGTTCGCGCGAGGAGGAGGTGGAGGAAAAGGTCGGGGAGGGGGAAGACGATTCGCGAGTCGCGAGGGATGGATACGCGGGTTACGTGCTTGTTCCGATACGCGTGTATCAACGTCGCGTGCGCAACTCCCACGCCGCAAACAACGGTTTTTCTCTCTCTC